AAGACACACAAGCAGACACGTCTGACCGCAAGCAGACACGTCTGACCGTAAGACACGTCTGACCGTAAGACACACAAGCAGACACGTCTGACCGTAAGCAGACACGTCTGACCGCAAGCAGACACGTCTGACCGTAAGACACGTCTGACCGTAAGACACGTCTGACCGTAAGACACACAAGCAGACACGTCTGACCGTAAGACACACAAGCAGACACGTCTGACCGTAAGACACGTCTGACCGTAAGACACGTCTGACCGTAAGACACGTCTGACCGTAAGACACGTCTGACCGTAAGACACACAACCAGACGCGTTTGACCGTAAGACACACAAGCAGACACGTCTGACCGTAAGACACACAAGCAGACACGTCTGACCGTAAGACACACAAGCAGACACGTCTGACCGTAAGACACACAAGCAGACACGTCTGACCGTAAGACACGCAAGCAGACACGTCTGACCGTAAGACACACAAGCAGACACGTCTGACCGTAAGACACACAAGCAGACACGTCTGACCGTAAGACACGCAAGCAGACACGTCTGACCGTAAGACACGCAAGCAGACACGTCTGACTGTAAGACACGTCTGGCCGTAAGACACAAGCAGACACGTCTGACTGTAAGACACGTCTGGCCGTAAGACACGCAAGCAGACACGTCTGGCCGTAAGATATCAGTTTTTCACTCCCATCCACAGCAAAGTGCAGATCCGTTTAAAATAATCCAAGACATCTGGTTTAGAGACGATGCGCATGTTTATAAATATGTGTTAGCATACCGTGGCTGGGTCATCTAATGAAGCATACACCGCCACCCTACCCCCAGCATACACCGCCACCCTAACACACCCCAGCATGGACTGACTGGGTCATCTAAATGAAGGATACACCGCCACCCTACCCCCAGCATGGACTGACTGGGTCATCTAAATGAAGGATACACCGCCACCCTACCCCCAGCATGGACTGACTGGGTCATCTAATGAAGGATACACCGCCACCCTACCCCCAGCATACACCGCCACCCTACCCCCAGCATACACCGCCACCCTAACACACCCCAGCATGGACTGACTGGGTCATCTAATGAAGGATACAACGCCACCCTACCCCCAACCTAACCATAAGCTTAATTTCTATGTTATTACTGATACAACGCTAAACTTGACCACAACACTGATAGTGGGGATGTAAGGGGATGTGCTAAACATATGGGAAAATGGGGGGGGGGGGATAGTACATGATTGGGAGGTGGGGAGTGTGTGTAGAGTGTAAATGATATGGTTGTGTTAGGTATGTGTATAGGATAGAATATAGCTCTGTGTGTGTGTGTGGTGGGTGGTTGTGTGGAGTGAGTGTGTGGCGTGGGCAGCCAACGTAAGGGTCGGTAATACCAGCTGACACATCAAGCTCACGATGATGTGGCGACCCTTCCCTCCCTTCATTACAACTAGCCCACGCGCTTTAATAAAGATAGATGTGGAATTCTCGACAGTCCGGAATGTAAATTATGGAGGGGGAGTCAGGTAATCTTCTTTCAGCCAGAGCATTAAATATTTATTACAAGATTGCAGCAATTGTTTTATTTCCGTCACATTTGAAAAGGTTATGAGGCGGGGTTGTTCGTTCTACAGTTGTGTGGATGTTGCTAGGGTGACTCCATCAATTTTGATCATCTTTGTTAACTTTGGTCTAATGTGGTTTCGTGTATCTAGGTTATATTTTAGTTTGTTAAAGTCTTGATATGTGAAATTTGGTTTAGGTTTTAAGTTACGTTTGGTGTAGTTTGGTTATAGTGAGCTAAGTAAACCTTAAATATAATGAATAAGGTAAAGTTTAGATAAATTTTTATTTAATTTTAGTTTGGTCATAGTTTATTAAAGGCTTGATAGATAAGTGGAAAAAAAAATGTGTATAACTAAGCTACCAGCTGCTATACGGGAGAACAGAACATATATCATTTTACAATCTCAAGGTCGGTGTTAAAAACAGTTTTCCCAGTAGAAAGAATTTCTATCTTCAAGACAGCAATCTATTCCGCCCCCAATCCAATTTCTAGACTATTAAAACAAGCCGAAGGGAAAAAACTGATTCACTGAGGAAAAACGTAACATCACTGTGGTTAATACATCGACCAATGGGCTATTCCAAGACTGGAGCAACGTTAGACTATCGAGACCATGATCCAATAAACTTTGGTATGTGTGCAGGCGCAAATATCAGACAAGAAAAAAAACTGCAGCAATAGTGAAACTTGTGAGGGAGAAATAGAATAATCCGTTCATAGTCTCTTTGTAGTTTCGGGACATGTGGTGGGGGCGGGACGGGGGAGGGGGCTGCACTGAAACGAACCTATAAAAAAGGTTCTTGCCGGATGAGCCAGGTAATCGCATGTATGATGTCACGTGACGCGTCAATTAGCCGAGGAATCCGAGCCTTGACTAACGCTGGTACCGCGGCAGTAGAAGAAAGGTAAACACCCAACGTTTCTCAGCCAAGCGCCAAATTCCACGTCTGATAACCCCGGCTCTAATCAACTGACTGCTGCACCACTCTACTGGTTTACTGTCCTCACACTGCCGTCACTGCTGCACCCGATGACCTAGGCTCGTCAATAATCATTTGATCATGACGACAAACTATTTCAGTTGGTCTTTAATACGTCACCAAAAATCAGACGAACACGTTTTCGTCATTTAGTCTTTGAAAATATGTTTTCTAAGTAGAGATCAAGTACCCCTCAAATCAATTAACCCCCCCCCCCCAAAAAAAAAAACCCAAACAGCACTAGAATATTAACCTATTGTCGATTATTGATATATCCTAAAACTAATCTAAATACGGGTAAGCATATTTTTGAGGATAAGATTCTGGAACAAATCATATTCAGCATTTGGCTCATTTATCTGTTTAGTATGCCATCGAAGGCCCAGACATGGTTTCTCACTGTACCGATAGTATGTGTAGTAATGTTTTCAACAGCAGTTAACATGGGTAAAGCGAGGGGATGGGTAATGGCGGGGATAATGTCCTAAACGATTGTAAGGAGAAAAAAAAACGTAGTTCATCTGACTTGCTACCCTCGGCCACAATAGTTATGAGTAGTTTTAACTTCCTTTACTACCAACATTTATAACACTCATTACATAAAAAGCATAGGACCACAACAGAAAGCGGACAATGTTCAAATACTGTCATTGACGCAAAACGTCAACAACACATAAACCATAATGCCATTTAACTTTAAAAATATGCTACCAAAACTGCAACCCACAACAATAAACATCCAAAATTTTATAATTCTCAACAATTAAATCATAATATTTTTTAAAAGATTTTTGTGACTTTTTTTCTGTGACTTTATTTCTGTGACTTTATTTCTGTGACTTTTTTCCCTATAAAATTTGTCCTTGGTGACTTTTTTCTGTAAACTTTTTACTTTCTCGTATATACGAAGTATAGAGAAAGTCTTGTAATCGTGCAAAAATAAAATCGACGTTTTACACCTCACTGATACGGAAAAACATAATTTTGCAATCTTGTCCGTATGTCTGTGTGTCTGTCTGTGTGTCTGTCTGTGTGTAAACACGATAACTTGAGTACCGTTACAGCTAGGTTGATGAAATTTCATATATAAGTATTTTATCAAAATCGTAATCCTGATCAACTTTTGAGCGATTTCCGAAAACCGGAAGTGGTACTTTTTCTATTTTGAATTTTTCAAAAGCTTATAACTTGAGTACTATTTCAGATAGATAAATGAAATTTCACATGTAAGTAAAAGATCTAATTCTCTACCTTCTATCAAATTTGGAGTAATTTCCGTTGACCGGAAGTACTAATTTACGCTATTTCCGATTTCGCAAAAAACGCATGTAAATTTATAAAGTACTAATAATATTGCGCACTATTATGCACATATTGTTTTGGCTTTCGCTTGGTGTGCAATTCTTTTTTCTATGAGATTCTATTCTATTTTTAAAAGTTTAAATAATTAAAAATCATGTCTATGTTCCAAGTTATATAAGAATATTCGAGAAAGTTTAGGGGAGATCACTCCCGGTTTATTTCCTAGCAAAAACTGACTTTTTTCTGTTTTTTTTCCTGTGACTTTTTTTTCCGTTCACCGTCCTAAACTCATGCCATATTTTAGCAATACCCACACACCAGCCCAATGATACTTTATACACACACCAGCCCAATGATACTTTAGATGTATCAGATATATTACTGCTCAACCCACACACCAACCCTCTGATACTTTAGATGTATCAGATATATTTCAGCTCCACCCAAGCCACCAATAACTTAGACGTGTCAACAACAACATTCTTGAAACGTTTGCCCCAAATGTTTGTCCCAATTAGTAGCTAAATAAAACAGGCTAGCTAGGCTAAACACGGGGAAGACGGGATACGCACAGGAGAAGGGGTGATGGGGGAGGTTGCTATCTCAGCCTAATTAAAAAGCACTTTAATTTTAGTTAAATTCTGTGAGGCTATAAATAACTCCAGGGCAGCATCTTTCATTTGAATTAGTTAGGCGTTAGCAGATGGCGTGTCCATTAGAAAGTGGATTGATTAAAACTAAAGTATTCTACGCTACATGTAATGGAGACAGCAAAGGTACTCGGATGTGGACATTTCGGCATGTCGGAAAGTGTAATCAACGCTAGCCACACACAAATACGATAAGGTAGTTTAGGTGAGGGTGTGATCAAATAGTTTGAAGATAATAGATTTAGACCAGTAGGCCTATACAGCCTTCCTATTCTTTCCATAGTGCGCTACTCTCGTAAAGAACATCAACGTGTCTTTTTTACACTAGTCTTGATGACGTAAGACACAGAGGCTATGACGCAAGAATTGGACCATGCGACAGATCCGACAATTTTAGTTTCACCTGTCCACGGCTTCACCCCTCGCTGTTTACCTGCTGGGCTAAGATTTGCCTGCTTTAGCCCCACTTAGCTGAGCCAGCAAACTGCAAGTTCCCCGGCCCAGACGGCGCTGGGAGGGGGAGGCGAACGTGCGAGGGCGGGCTGACGTATCAAATGCCGGACAGGGCGCGTGTCCGCCAGCGCGCGGTGACAGTGCACCCAGTGGGTTCACGCGCTTTTTCGCTGCCATCAGCGTTTCTTTCTGTCATGGCATCGGCTCCATTCATCCACTGGCTCAGTGCTGACTGGATAACACCACAGACCGACCACGGGAGGACGGCATTGCTGGTAATATTTTCTTTTTTCTTTACAACTTCTATGTTTATAAACTTGCCACAAGTAGGACGGCTTTAATTCTAGTTCTGTTACAAGTGTTAGCTAGACCTATATACTAGTCACTTTTTGCTACTTCTGATGTTACAAGTGTTAGCTAAATCTATATACCAGACACGTTTTTGCTAGTTCTGATGTTACAAGTGTTAGCTATACACCAGTCAGTTTTGTGTGTGCTAATTCAGAGTGCCACACCAGTCACGTATTTGCTAGTTCTGATGTTACAAGTACACAGCTCCAAACCAGACTTTTTAATGCCGGGACAAAAATTACACGTGGCATGTCGTGTGAGTTATAGGTGTTAGCATTGTGCAGCTATCGCACAATTTTCTCCTGTTGTTCCACAATCAAACGTTGTAGTTTGTACCGTCATTGTAAACACTTAAACGTCACTGACTGTACCGCATCGACTGTGCTGTCCGTCAAAACAAGACAGCATCAGTTTGTAACATCAACACAGCAGAACTCTCCAATAACAAATTGTAGGCCCGCTTTTACCCACTGTCATAGCACGCCACTGTGTACATTTAGATAACAAATCACATCTTCCATACGCATTTAGATAACAAATCACATCTTCTATACACATTTAGATGACAAATCACATCTTCCATACACATTTAGATAACAAATCACATCTTCCATACACATTTAGATAACAAATCACATCTTCCATACGCATTTAGATAACAAATCACATCTTTCATACACATTTAGATAACAAATCACATCTTCCATACACATTTAGATAACAAATCACATCTTCCATACACATTTAGATAACAAATCACATCTTCCATACACATTTAGATAACAAATCAGTTTTCATACACATTAAGATAACAAATTCCAGTTTCTATACACATTTAGATAACAAATCACACTTTCCCCACAAATTAATTAACAAATCAAACTTTCCTTACAAATTAATTAACAACTGTCACACTCCGCACAAATAATTAACGAAAACCTGACACCCTCCTCACAAATTAATTAAAGAACAAATGACACCCACCCCACTAATTAATTAACGAACAAAAACACCATCCCATAAATTAATTAAAGAACAAGTGACACCCTCTCCATAAATAATTAACGAACAAAAACACCATCCCATAAATTAATTAACGAACAAATTACACCCTCCCCACAAATTAATTAACGAACAACTGACAGCCTCTATACAAACGAATGCAGCATGTCCCAACTCCCCATGAGCCACCAAACGTCTCTAATTGTCCCATCACCCTGCTGTAACAGCCGACCTACCCCCTAGAAGTCAAGTGTATAGCATTGTTTCTTGTTGGCGTCCCAAACCTGTGTATACTGACGGCAGTAGCCGCTGACACAGGTAAAGAAGGAATGTTTACAAGACGTGCGGTCTAGGGCAACATGAGGTTTAAGAAACATCAAGAGACGTGCACTCAATGAGTGGTGGAAAAATGGTGCTATTGTTCGTGGAACAGGTGAGCAGGCGCTGAGATCAAACCACGAGAGGCAGGCGCCAGGGATGGGATCTATGGGTGGACTTGTCTTAAACCCTTCGATTCTGTGTCAATAATGACATTTGGTAATCACGATCACAGTTTTCAGCGTCAAAATCTTAGGTTAGTTAGATAAGAAATTTGATTTACAAAATTCAGCTGTTCGACTTTTTAAAAATGTTATTAAGAATTAATAACACAAAAAGATAAAGGAATTGGCAAAATACACATTTGCTGTAAAACACAAACGGACAGAGGAATGGACTAAATAAATGTTGCAATTGTGCTATGTATAATTGTCGAAACGTAGAAGAACGTGAATCACTGTTGAATCATTCACAAAAACCACTTCCGCATTCCACCCACCCCTCTCTGTAAAGTGCAACAACTCACCTGCCGCCCTCCACTGCTCATGTTCTACATCAAGTCTACACCTGATTGTTTCCCTTACTCACTCAAATATATGGGGATCAACTGTAAGGCAAGTCTAGATAAAACAAGGCACATTTCTCAAAAACAACAAGCAATCAACAAACGACACACACGCATAAGACTAGACACAACAAGGCACATTTCTCAAAGGTAATTATAAATGTCACTGTAAGGTAAGACAACGTGAAACAAACACGAGAAACAATTTAAACATACATGCCACAATTTACTTTTGCTCGTCGTAATGCGCTGTTTTTAAAATGTATACCTTTTCTGATAAATAGCAAGTTATTTAAGTTACAGTTAAGACAACTTTTGTCGTAATAAATTGCTTCTGTCTACCCTCCACTGTCTCGACAATTGAATCTATTTTCACACTGAAAAATCTATTTAGACGCTGGAACAACTGTTTAAGATTTACATTACCATATCCACTATATTGGCATTAATTTTAATTGTTTTGACTTCTCAGAAGTACGCAGTGTGATGTCTGTGTAGATAGAAAGTAGATCTAGTTCAGGGGGTCTCCAAACTTTTCAGTCCGAGGGCCGCATTAACTATGAAATATCAGTTCGGGGGCCAGAGTTTCTTTAAGACATCTCTTCGGGGAGGGGGCGCCCCCACCCTCCCGAAGAACGTCTACCCCCCCCCCCACGAAATATAATTTATATAGATATATTTACAAATTTCAAGTGTCCACCCCTACCCCCCACCCCACCCCCACGGAGAAAAAGTCTGGAAGAAACGCTTTCGGGGGTCGATAACACACTCGAGGTCCAAGTTTGCTCTAAAATTGTTCTTCACGTATTTCATTCTTGAAAATGTTTGTTCACACAGGTATGTTGTTTCAAAACTTGAAAGGTACTTTGATGCAGAACTTTTATTATTAGGAAAGTCTTCCTTGTGCAAAAACTTATGAAAATTAATCTGCCCTTCTTTGAACGTGTCTCTAAGGAAGTCATTTTCTTGCAATTCAATGACCTCCAGCTGCAGTTCATCTTTGCAACTGGCCACATTTGCTTCAAATGGGCTTTGAAGCAGTCTCACTTCTTCTGCCTTTGAATCCAAGTCAGAGAACCTACTGAAACTGCAGCTGGAGGTCTTTGATGATCATATGTAAATGACGTGGGAAATTTATTGGTTGCTTCAGCCGTAAATAACTTGCACTGCTGAAAGTGCGTCAAGTTGTTGGCCTGTACTTGTTCCAAATACATGACAAGTTTGAATCTGAAGGCCTTTAGGTGGGTGTATAGATAAGAAACTAGATTTCCCTCTCTTGCCGTTTTATGTTCAGAAAATTTAAATGACTAGTTATGTCTGCAGCAGAGGCCAATTTCTATACCCCATTTAAATGAACACAAGAAGTTGAGGTGGAACAACTGTCCAGCGACTCATCCATTGCAATTGAAAAATGGCGAAGCTTGCTTGCATATTTCGCTATTTGAGTCACGATGTTTTCACCAATGTCTGCAACACGGCGGGCAATGGTATTTGCAACCAAAGCTACATTTTCAAATTGTTTTGAATTTTCTGTGCAAAGCTCCTCAGTCACCTCTAACAACATTTATTCAGTGGACAAAAATATCGTCGAGGGTCGGATGAAATGATCTCGCGGGCCGCATCCGGCCCGCGGGCCGTAGTTTGGAGACCCCAGATCTAGTTTATTGTCAAAGATGTGTGGCCTTCCCAGTCAACCTATATCGATCTAATTTCGTCTCAAAAATGTTTTCAAGGGGGGGGGGGTGAGACTTAAAAAACAATGGGGGGGGGGATAGTTAAAATATATATTGTATATACTATTTTATTTTGGTCCGAGATGACTGTGGACATGTCCTGAGGCTATCATCCCTCCCCCCCCCCCCCCCTTAAGAGAGATGTCTGAAAACAAACAGAGTGAGTGGATGAACCAGCTCTACCAGTGTAGCAAGGCACGACCAGTGTAGCACGACACTACCAGTGTAGCAAGGCACTACCAGTGTAGCACGACACTACCAGTGTAGCAAGGCACGACCAGTGTAGCAAGGCACTACCAGTGTAGCACGGCACTACCAGTGCAGCACGACACTACCAGTGTAGCACGACACTACCTGTGTAGCACGACACTACCAGTGTAGCACGACACTACCAGTGTAGCACGACACTACCAGTGTAGCAAGGCACGACCAGTGTAGCAAGGCACTACCAGTGTAGCACGGCACTACCAGTGTAGCACGACACTACCACTGTAGCACGGCACTACCAGTGTAGCACGACACTACCAGTGTAGCACGACACTACCAGTGTAGCACGACACTACCAGTGTAGCACGACACTACCAGTGTAGCACGACACTACCTGTGTAGCACGACACTACCAGTGTAGCAAGGCACGACCAGTGTAGCAAGGCACTACCAGTGCAGCACGACACTACCAGTGTAGCACGACACTACCTGTGTAGCACGACACTACCAGTGTAGCACGACACTACCAGTGTAGCAAGGCACGACCAGTGTAGCAAGGCACTACCAGTGTAGCACGGCACTACCAGTGTAGCACGACACTACCACTGTAGCACGGCACTACCAGTGTAGCACGACACTACCAGTGTAGCACGACACTACCAGTGTAGCACGACACTACCTGTGTAGCACGACACTACCTGTGTAGCACGACACTACCAGTGTAGCACGCTACCAGTGTAGCACGGCACTACCAGTGTAGCACGACACTACCACTGTAGAACGACACTACCTGTGTAGCACGGCACTACCTGTGTACCAGGGCACTAAGAGTGTAGCACGACACTACCATGTAGAACTATACCATCCTTTGTAGCCCTCCTGTCCACGCCACTGTCACAGGTAGACCCATCTTTGTGAGCTTGTCAGAAGAAAAATAACTTCCGTTCTCGATTTGTGTTTAATAACTTTATTTTTCGGGGGAATGTTAACATTTCTATGTGACAGACTTGATTTGTTTATCTTGAAATTTGTTTATGGCTAGAGTGGTTATGGCAGTTAGTGGTAGGTTCAACTCATAAAACATCTTCAAACTCAGCTA